TCCAGCTTGGAATACTGGTCTTAAAACAGTGTTTTGTCGTTTAATTTTCTGAGTGTTTAGCTATAGTTTTATGTTTTTTGGTGTATTGGGCTCTGTCGATCCAACGAGTTTGTGTCAGATAATGAGGTTATTTACTAATTTATTGTTGTGTTCTTCCTTATTGTTTATTAAGAGTAGAGATTATTTTTATTTGATGGTTTATAGTAAGTACGTGTTTTGAGATTTTTTTTCCGTTGTTCTTTGTGTTTTACTGCTGGTTGTTTGTGGAAAATTTATAAATATTTTGATTATTTTAAAGAAGTTTAATGTTTTTGTTTTATTTTTTTGTGTCATAAAAACCCCAAAGCAGCAAATGCTGATTTTATATCCTTGTTGGTGATTATGAGACTAGAGATCGCCTAAGGGTTGGTAATTGTTAGTCGAGTGTGGTTTTTAGGCGATTTAAGCTCTATAATTTTACCCTAGGCTTTGGACTTTGTTTTTTAATGTGAAGCCTTCTGATAAGCAAAATAAAACCCATCTTATGTTCTCAAACAGGTGTGAAAGGCATTTTAGGGTTTTATGTGTTGATACCGTGGGGTGGTGTTTGTTTTTATTGGTTATCATGTTGTTTTTAAAAACAAACATGATAACGAAAACTTTTATTTTTAGTTGTTTATGCGGTTGTTTGAGGTTTATAAAAATAATTGTTTGTTATTTTGTTTTTTATGAGGCATCTATAATTAGGGTTCACCGTTGTTTCTCAAGAGAGAAGACTTGTCTCTTTGACGAGTTCGTAGCTTGATGCAGAAAATGGCAAAATTGACTGATGATGCCGACTGCGATGCCTGCGAAACGTTTGAGAATGTATCAAGTCCACTGTCAGATGTTGGAAATCATGACAACTACTATGGCAGACGACTTCGGACTAAGTGCGTTCTACATAGTCACCCTGACAACAAGACCAAGTTGAGACGACAAGGATAACCCACTACTATAAATCGAAAGGAGACTGCGACCATAACAGAGACCACAACATCTTGGTCTTCATATATTCTCTGTCTTAAATTCAGACAAGTAGGTTTTCGGGACTATCAGTAAAACGGGAATGATAGTTCTAGTCGCCCTGGATCGCATCCGGTAGTGAAAGACTGATAGTTCAATTTTTCATACTCATATGAGTAGGTATCATGTTTTCGTTGATTTGCACATAGTCTTGGAAATACCTTTTGGAAGCGTAAAACCTAACCATATAATTGTGGTAAAATTCAAATATCAATCCTTCCTTACCCTATACAATCTATGGTGACCTGAAATCTTAATCCCTACCTTGCCCAACTGATTTACTATATTCCCTATACTATTTTCATACCAGTCATACTCGAAGATTTATTTACATAACTGGGCACGAAAGTATGATGAAATCTGCGCAATGACCTCATAGATGACAGCTTTGAACTTGCGATTATCACGCTTGCAGCCCTTCTCAAGTCACCTTGGCTTCAAAGCCCTGATTGCTGAATTTTACGCCTACTCCCACCTTCATCCCATACCCTCACAGTCCTTAGGAGGTCCCTAGACCTGACCTTTTTCAGAGCCGCTAGTGAATAGCTCTACCATTTCAACAGCCCAGTTCTGCCTTTGAGCAGAACTCGCGTTATCATCCTCCTGTACTAGTTAAAACCAGCCCAGCCACGAGATACCATGTCCCTCAGTTCAGAGTGCACAGGGCTTGGCAGGTTCCATTTTCGGCCATTCTGTTATGATAAAAGTTCTAGTCACGAGTGGATGTATGCCATCGTAGAACGACATAAATATCCTGTTTTAGATGCCAACTCAAACTAGGCCTAAATTAGCGGAGGAAGATGTGAAATTGGAAGAGCAAAGGTACGTGAGAGGTCGTCAACGCTACTCATATAATCGGCTACTCGGCTTGCATTCAACAGAACTTACCGAAAAAGCACCAAAAGAGCATAAAAGAAGTTCTGAAAGTTGTTGCTTCGATGCAGCACAGGTAGGTCCTCGTCCACATATTCTTCAATAGAGATCTTTCCAAAGAGCTGCATCCCGATGACGGCGTAAATGAAGAACAGCATGGCAATCAACAGTGCGACATACGGAAGAGCCTAGAAAAAGAAGAGGGTAAACAGAGGCTAAGACCTCTTTTACTTGGCGTGGAAGGTCTCAAGGAGGCATGTTGTACAGGCAGTTAGGTAGACACAACCTGCTTTGCATACGTCCTAGTTACTCTATCCTTCTTAGATCAAAAAGTCTAACAGATAGGCTTGTATAAAAGCTGAAACAACATAAATTAATAATGCTAGACCAAAAACCGACAAAAATGTCACATACACACGCACAACTAATGATATACTACTTCGAAACGTAGACAACGTGAAAAATGAAAACAAATTGTAAAAATTGACAAATATAAACTCACGAATGCACGAAAAATGTAAAAACGAACCGAATTGAAAGGGCAAGATACCTTAAGAAGTGGCAATTCTGAAATGCTGAATAAGAGAAGAATAAAGAGGAACTTCAAAAGAGTCTTCTCTGAATAAAACAATTCAGAGTAAATGTAGCTGAGGCGAAAATCGGCTAATTTTAATTTATTCCTAATATTGCGTGAATAAATGTCTATTCCTGGACTCGTGGCTTGGCCAGTTTGCATGGAAAACTCGTAGATTAGCCCAATGATGAGGAATCTGCCAGGTGCGCCAACCTCTTTTTCCCTGAAAGTCATCACCAGGCAACAAAGGAGTCATCAAGTAAACTGAGACATTGCGGATTGGAATAAACATGAAAGTCATCTGGGCATCCTGGCCATAAGGTTAAAAGATCCAGTTCCGAGTATACGATTTAACAAGTCTTGTATCACATATCAAGCAAGCCAATAGAAGCATTCATTGTCTCGATGGGCAGCGAGTAAGACTAAAGACTAAGGAATAAACTAGCTTTCCTTATATAACCACAAAAAATATTCTTTGGGTGCACTGGAATACGAAAAAGGATAATGAAATTCAATGTACCGTAATTTGATGGAATGAAATTTAGACGATTCCGGAAAATTATTATGAGATAACATTATCATTTGGAGTTCCAGATGCCGGTCTGGATGAGCACCCACAGACTGAGTGATTGGGCAAAT